AAATGAACATTCGGCCATGTTTGTGCTTTCCGCTTGTCTACAGTTGTACGTTGACAGTGTTGCATGAGCCAATATTGTTTTTGGTATGTCAGTCATTGTATAGTATACAGTTCATTTGTTCGGTTCTTTGTTCATTTGGGATGCAGGCCAGCCGGAAAGCAAAGGGTGGTGGACACGTAGATCATGTGCTGAGGAACTCAAGGAGGGCCAAGCTGCCCCGAAGTGTGAAATGCCAAAAGCCATGGATTGACGAGAGTCGCAATGCTTCTTTTGTGGCCATGCGGCTGCGAGACATTTGGTGCTCGCACCGTTTGGGGTTTGCCTCCTGTTTTAGTATTTGGCGTGCCCTGCCCCCCCAAAGAAAGATGGAAAAAGAAGAAGAACCAAATCACAATGAGTTCTAGGCATAGGTGTCCTTTTTAAGTTAATTAGTTTGGTTAGAAAAAGAAGGGTTCCGCTGGTTTAGATACTTGCAAATAGACAGCTTTGATTTGTTTCGGCTAGTCCACTCAGAAAGTGAGTTCACTGCTGATATTGAATCTGGCTCGTATAACCGTGCATGTTCTAGGATTGATTTGATCGGGTAATCGGGTACGTTTTGGATGTGATGCTACGGGATCTGTGCTATGTTTATTCCAACACATACTGTAACCGGTGAATCGGGGGGGGGGGGGGGGCTCAAAACTGCGTAGATGGACTGTTTGGGAAAAAGTCGTCCAATTCACCCTGGTGTAAGTGACGAGTTCCTGGATTACTTGGAAGCTACTTGCACTCTCGACTTACATCACTTCCAGCCTTCCAAGAGGAATCAACGGCGGTTCATGTGTGAACACATGATCAACCCTGGTGGGCGGGTTCGTCCATTCATGGCTTTACCACGGGAAGCCAGCAGAGGCCTCAGGTAGCCTTGTTTTGTTCTGGAGTGGGTCTTAAACTTGTGCCTTTCAAGAAGTAGCGCACGAGCTAGGATGCGATGTCAAACACAGCCAGCCGGTAATGCCTACTTCAGGATGCATCGCAGGGATTTAAGAGGGGACTTTCAGATGGTTGGTTTCCTTTCGGCTTCCATTTTGAACATTTGGAAACACAGTTCCCTTTTTTTTAGACACTCCCATATTCCTTGCGCACATAGACTTCACCTACCCACATGCTACCTTCATAGAGCTTACAGGAGATTCTACGTGAATCCAACATCCTTCGGGTTGGTTGGTATTTGAGTTAAGGTAATTAAGGGTTGATCCTATCCGCCAATTAGACGGCGAGCTCACCGGTTCCGTGAAAAAGAGGTCAGAGGAATGTAGTATTTGAGTTTGTGTGAGCTGTGGGTAAGTTTTGTTTGGCACGCTTGCTTCAGAGTTGCGCATGTGCGGGATGTGTTCATGAGCAACCATCCTTGGAACTAGTGGAATTGAATTTTACCATTTTTCGGGGAACCGTAGGTCTGGCTTTGCCATACATCCAAGGGACTTCCCCATCGAGTATCCGTGAGGTCCCTGGGGAGACAGCCCTCGAAGTCTGCCAGACCAACAACTTGGATCTCGCGCGGGGGACCCCAGACTCGCCGGCCCGGTTAAGGGGCGAACTGGGGTACTTGGTGAAGGCCATTTGGGCTGCATCCATCTCCAGGCAGTTCCTGGACTTGAATCACCTGGGTTGGGCTGGGGTTGGCCAGTTAGACCTCACTCAACCCCAAGGAAGCTCAGAGGTTGTTTGAAGAGCTGTTTACGCATGTTCAAGCTGGCTAGCCCAATCCCGATGAACCCTGTGGGAATATGTTGAGCACACAAGGTTGGTTTGCGTTTGTTGTTTTCTTGTTGATTGGCTTTGTGGGTTTCGTTTATTTTGCTTGTTGGTGGCGAGACGTTTGAAATAGCAAGGTGACATGTTCTTCCGGTGTGGTTGTTAGAGAAATGAGTTATGGCTCATATTCATGTGTGCTTCCCATCGGTTACTTTAGCCACCGTCAAGCTTCCAGAACCCATGCCAGAAAATAGTCTTAAAGCTGCACGGTTTCTATACCCGGTGTTGCGTTAGTTGTTTTTGGGTGGCATTCTGCTTGTGTTGTTTTGTTGTTGGTTTGCGTGTTGTGTTTAGGCTGTTGTGTGTTTACGCCGCCAATGTGCAGAATTGTGTTTGCTTGGTTTGCCTTTTGTCGCAAAGCTTGTGCTTGTCTCTTTTGACATGTGTTACGTTAGGTTTCTCTTTTGTGTTTCACCCTGTTCTTGTTCTTTTGCAACCACGTCCTTTGGTGCCCAGACGTATTTTACGGCCTTTTTGGGGCACGATCCACGAGTCCCGAGACCCAATTTCGATGCCCACGCCCTGCTTGGAACCCTTTTCGGTTTGGGTACAAGGAAGTCAACCTCCGACCCAGTTGGGTGAGTCTGCCTTAAAACAGAAAAAGTGTTTTTTGGTTTTGGTTTTGCTTCAAAGCCGTTTCCTGAAGAAGGGGGCACCCTTCAACAGTAACGAGCCCCACTCAACTGAGTGACCAAAACGCAAGTTCTCACATTTTGTCAGCAGGTTCCACTACCAGTTTTTTTTTTGTCTTCAAAACACTTTTAGTTGTGTTTTCGTCCGCAAGATTTGCCATAATGTTAGCCAGCTTGGTCCAATCAATCTTGAGCTCGGGTGAGAAACGACCAAAACACGCCCGCCTCAACCCCCCCCCCCCCCTTCCCAAAACCCCCCTTCCCAAACCCCCCCCCCCCCTTCCCCCCCGCTTTGGGTGCCAGCGGCATGTCGCCGCCTCTAGCGGCACGAGGACCGCGGAGTCCACCTGCCGTGCCGGGAACCCGGCGCTGGCCACGGCGGTGTTCCCCATGCGCAGCTTGGAGACGGACGCGGTTGTGACGCCGGAGGAGGATGGCCTGGACCGGATGCTGCAGGAGCGGAGGGGATCCTGACATGTCCATGTCCCTTTTGGGGTGTTTTGCACATGACCTTTTTGGCCCATGATAGGTGAGTGTTCTTTTGGGTGTTTCAAACATCATCGTTTTGGCCCATGATAGCTGAGTGTCCCTCTGGGGTGATGTTTGGGATTTGAAACATAGGGAGCTCTGTGGAGAGGTGGAGAGGAGGAGCGAAACCCACAAGAAGTTAGGAATTGTTTGTTCCGTTAGGGTGACATGAGTGGAGTGGTCAGGACATGTTTGTCAATTTCTGTTTGCTTGGTGGTTCTTGTTTGGTAGGGATTGCGGGACTCTTCTTTGCGAGGTGATGTTTTGGGAGGACATATAATGGGAAACCAGCACGAAGCTGAACCCATTCTCGAGCTTGATTAGGGGTGTCGACATCGGACCCGCACCCCTCAGCCCAGAAAGGTTGCAAGCTGTACCCTTCGATCAGAACCCCCCCCCTTGCTCGTGTGTATATATGGTACAGCGTTGCCAGCCCCTCCCCCCTCCCCCCCCAATGGTCATGGGTCAGGCAAGTACCCCCCCCCCCCCTCAAGTACCCCCCCCCCCCTGTGGTTGTGGTCCTGTGGTTGGGTTGTGGTGGTTTAGGGTTGTGGTGGTTTAGGGTTGGTTTAGAATTGGTTTAGGGTATATTTGGGGTGTATTTAGGGTGTATTTGGGGTTAGTTTAGGGTTGGTTCAGGGTTGATTTAGGTTGATTTATGTTGATTTAGGGTTGGTTTAGGGTTGGTTTAGGTTCAGAGGTGTACGGTCGGTTTAGGGTTTGGTTTAGTGTGTATTTAGGGTTGGTTTAGGGTTAGTTTAGGGTTGGTTTAGGTTTAGGGTTTATTGTTTAGGGATTGGTTTAGGGTGTATTTGGGGTTAGTTTAGGGTTGGTTTAGGGTTAGTTTAGGGTTGGTTTATGTTGATTTAGGGTTGGTTTAGGTTTAGAGGTCTACGGTTTAGGGTTTGGTTTAGGGTGTATTTAGGGTTGGTTTAGGGTTAGTTTAGGGTTGGTTTATGGTTGGTTGCGGGTTGGCTTGTCCTGGGGGTGGGGGTGCCGGGGTGTCGGGGTGCGAGTTCAGGGGTCGGGGTGGGGGTGGGACCGTAGGTGCCAGGATCCGGGGGCTTGGGGTCTCGGGCCGTCGGGCCGGGGGGGGGTCCTGGGGGACCATACCATATGGGGGGGGGGTAGCAACACGGAACACGGGACCATATATATATATATATATGTGTGTGTGTTGGTGTGCTAGCTTTTTAGTGTGGACATTTGCTGTTTGGTGGACACATCGCACTTGCCGGGCTCCAACCGCCACTGTGGTTGCCTCCATTCAACCCCGCCCGCTGGTCAGAAGCCTTTTTTGTTTTGGTGTCCGGGGTCTCAAGACAGAAACAGTTGTCCGCTTTGTGTGTGTGTTCTTGCTGGGGTCATAGGGTTCAATGAGGGGTAAATTAGGGGCTTCAGGCAATCAACAGCATCCGGAAAGGCCCCTAACCTCTTGAGAATAGATCTCGAGGCTTTGGGATTCCTACCTTTAGTCCTACTCAGTGGGCCAACTCTACCGCGAGTCTCCTTTCAACTTTTTGGGGGGTAACATGGGCTATATAGGCTATATGTCTGTAAAAGACGAACTTCCCCAGGGCTTGGAGTTTTCAGGGGCAAGTTTTTCGGGGATCGCTTTGTTTCTCGGACAGATGGACTGGATCTCTTCGGACTTCTGGACCGGATCTCAGGACTGTATGACTGACGTGTGCAGCGCGAGCCGCGAGCTCGGATCCGCGAGCTGAGTGGAACAACTTCCATTCGGCCACATTGAAGCCATGGTTGAAGCCATAGTTGGTGAGTATGTATGAGGGAACCGATTTTTTCCAGGGTTTCTTAGGTGCTGCGAACATCATGTTTGTGCATCCACGGTTTGTTGGGTCCATCCGTGGTAGGTTTGTTGTACTTCAGGTTAGCATAGCTTCTCCTGTAAATGAGCGAAGAAACGGTTCCAGAGATTCCCACCAAAGGGTTCCCAACAAGATTCACGCTTGTACGTGTCAACCGGGGAGTTTGGCTCGTGTTCATAGAAAACCAGAAGGAAACTAAAAAACCTGAGCGGGTGACTCCCAATTTTCAGAGGAAGATGTGACCCGTTGAAATGTGAGCCGCTCACTGAAATACTTGGGAAAGGCAGAGAGTCAGAGGGAGATGAAGAAGCACCGCCATGAATCACCATTTTCTGACTGGGAACGGTGTGAGTAAAAAGGGCCTTTGAGCGATATATCGAGTGATATGGAGCTGGGTCACATGCCCAAAACCCGGATACACAGGCGGCGCTTTTCTTTTTTTGCTGTCGTCCACTTCATCGAACTCAAATGTCCTGTCCTTTCTGAGGGGACCCCCCCCCCCGCAAAAAACAATGGTGGTTGTCCTGCTGATTTTCATTTAGCACCGGCAACAAGACCGTACCCTCCAAAAAGGACCCACACCCAAATATGGTGGGGTTGGTTTTGGGGGTGTTCGATCCGGACATGCCGGACCCAAGCTGTTTGCTCCATGTGGCGAACCATGTGTTGCCATGCAGAGCAGCAAGCTCTTTCTTTGATAGCGGTTCAGAGTGAGAAAGACAGTCTTCTAAGCTGATCTGGAGTCTTTTCGAGTGACTTAGAGTGCGGAAATCATGCTCTACGTCAAGTGAGTGACTGTGTGACATTTGAGTGTGTCACATCTTTGTCCTCTGATTTGTTGGGGCCGTGTGAGATGTCGACTTGGGTAAGATGATATGTGCATTCCAAGTTGAGAAACCGTTGGGCTAGGCCACGTATTACACAAGATGAGGTCAGCATGAGTCTTGAAGCTTAGTCCAGCAAGACTTGGTGCTGCCCCAAGGTGATGAAACCACCCAGGTAGACAGAGCTCAATCAGCATCAAGGTTCCTTACTTGGGAATTGTTAAATTGTTAGTTCTAATTCGTGAAGTATGTCTGAAAACAGGGAACCCCCTTGCATGTGCTTCCCTTCAGTTGTTTTCCTCACAGTTTGGGCCCATCTCAAAAGTACTGTTGTTGGTTACACATTTTAGGTGTGCCGGCGCGCCGCCGCCCTGTTCGACTATGTTTGTTTCATGGTGTTGTTATTCTGTTGCACGAGAGAGCTAACCAAGATACATTCTTCGCTGACTTGCGGCCAGAGTTGTTTGGCAAAGTAGTCTCTTCTTTTGAGAAACACGCGCGGCTTTGGCCAGTGCTTCTTTGTCCTGGCCAGGCACTGAGATTCCCCCCAACCCAACGCACCAACTGCGCCAGGGTCCCACATAGTGAAATTACGTTTTTTTCTTTGAACTAACATAGTGTTTGACCTGTTGGATTGACAAGGACAAAGTTTAGTCGATAGCAAATGGATTGCACCAACCCGAATGCAATCTGGCTCAGAGAAATGTAGAGAAAGATGCCAATCGCCCAAAACAAAGGAAGGGACACCAATGGACCAACTGCAAATTTGTTGTTTGCGTTTTTTGAAAGGGAAGCAACATGGACATCAAGCAACCGGATGGGGTCCTGGGAGTTTGAGAACACCCACGTAGCTGTTGCCATGGGGACAAGAAGCACCGAAGTTCATACATCATCCTTGGGATCTCCTCGGACCATACTCATACTATAAAGGCTAGGCTTGGCTAATCCTGTAGTTGTCAGGGGGCCCCAGAGAGGGGACGTGCTGGAAATGGTGCCCACAGGGAACCTTATTTGCACCGAATAGACCCCATCAGTCGCAATTAGCCCTGGTGATTTGGGCCCCGATTGGGGAATCGGCCCTTGACAACCACCGCGACTAAACACGGAACAGAAACATCATTTCTCATATTGCCATGGAACAGAAACATAACAAAACCATGGATCAGAATCATGGTATCACATTTCCCGAAATTGCGCCAAGGCCATAGGCTCCCTTCCCCACTTCACTGCGACTCCCTGACTCCCCGAGTCCCCGAGTCCCCGAGTCCCCGAGTCCCCGACTCGGCTGGGCTGGCTAGGCACGGCAGACCGAGCGGTGCTGGCAGAGAACACCGCCACGGAGAACGTGGGGCTGCCGATGCGTTCCTGTGCCCCGGCGACAAATCGTGAGCTTCCTTTGGATGGGGCGATGTGGGTATGATGTGGGTGTGGGTCAAGATTAAACCACCAGGGGACTGCAGATTTTAGTCCATGGGATTTTAGTCCATGGGTTCCATTTTGGGTACCTATTTTTGCCCACAGCCATGTTTCGAGGGGAAACTTCAGGGAAACTTTGTAAGTGGAAGCGCAATCTTGGCCCGTGTGCCAAAACTGGAAGTGGGGCTGGTAGTTTTTTGGCGAGGACTTTGAGTGGGGCTCGTTGTAAGCGGTTGCAAGTGAGGTTTGTTGAACCCCCTAGAAGATACTCAACAAAGGTGATGGTAAAGGCCGGGGTCCCCACAACTGTTTGGGTTAGAGTTCATACCCACCAAGTCTAAGGACCTGAAGCTGTGCAAGGGTGCTGCCTGCAAAGGCTTGGGCTAGCCCCTATTTTAATAGGTGTAGGCCACTGTTCTTTCAACAACCTTGTTGGTTTCCCTTTCGGGGGGCGGCTGGGTTTTAAACTAGATCAGCTCGCAGCTCATGGATGTCCTTTCTGGGAAAATGTAAGGATAGCTCCCTAGAAGTGCTTCCGGTCTTGTTTGGGTGCCTGTATTCCGTTGTTGTGTTATTTGTGCTTGAAAGTGGTCTTCATTAAAAAAAAGATACAAGCAAAGGCACCAACATCAAGAACCAACATGTTAACTTGTTCGGATGGCCCGTAATTTTGCCGAAAGGAACCATGATAGAGTATAGCGCTCCATTCAGTTTGATTTACGCAACGACATGTGGTCATTTGCAGGATTTAGCGTAATTGAATTGACATGGATCGCCTCCATGGGAATGCTCCTATTGTCGCAACTCGTGTCGCTTTGACCAAGCGTGACTAGCCACCTATGGTTGTCGCAGTGTGATTGCAGGCCATGGCTTGCCCTTTGTAGACATATGTGCGTTATTTTCTAGTGCTGGTTAGGACACATGTGTCCCGTATATTGCACGGAAGCGTATATTATGAAATTGATGTCTTCCGAGAACATCGCTTTTTGTGACAACTTCGTCGGGTGTGTTTGGTTGTGTCTATCATGGTCCTTCGGTTGGTGTCGTTGTAGTAAACATTACATGATACGGTCAATATGTTCCGCCATTTGTGACAAGGGATGACATTGGGCATACTCGCCAAGCTGCTCTTGGGAACTGGGGTTTTACACAATGCTATGTCAGCTGGGCAGCACTGCTACGTTTCTAGAAGTTTGTTGAGTTTTCACATCTATACTGCTGCATGTGTACTTGGATGTTCGGCCAAGCTAGAAAGTGGTTGGTCACCTGCGCTATCCCACTTCTGTCAAGGTTGACTCCACTTTAGGGGCTTATAAGCGGGGTATAACCTAGGTTGCCAACAACTTACTAACTTGGCCCCAAGTACCGAGTTATTGTTCGCATCACTATACCAGTTTTGCGTGTTTACACAAAGCACCATGCATTCGTATGTTGTTGTTGTTCCTATGACTTTTTAGAGTTTGTCACCTTTAGTTTGACTATATTGGCTTATTGATGTTCGGTAAACATTCCTGTTTTGTTGTCATGGGGAGTGTGCGTTTGTGCCTTTGATAAGTCAGACACCATCAACTTGTCGAGAGCCGACTCAACGTTCAAGAGTTTGGGCTTTGGGACTTTAGTGCGTCTTGGCAGAGTTGCTGAGGCTGAATATCACGTTTACGCGCTGATTTGGAGGACCCCTTGTGAATCATACTTTGATGGTACTGGTATTTTTGGGGGAACCCCGTTTCAGGATATCCTGTATGGTTGCCTGACTGAAGGAAGCTCAAAAGGAAACCAACACCAGTTTTGGTGGTGACCCATAATGTTAATCCCGCATTAATAAACCCCTGGTTGATTTTGATCGGGGCGTGTCCCCTTTTTGCGGGGATTCAGTCTACTCTTGGAGGGAACACCTTCGTAATAACGGGATTCATCACTTTTGGAGGGAAGACCCCCCTAATGGGACGGGTTTATTCATCCTATCCTGGGTCAACATTATTCCGTGAGACTGCTCAAATTTGGGGATAGCAGGTTGCCATGGCCTTGCGGCTTGGCCGCGTCATGGACATAGGTCTCCCAGCAATTGGTGCCCGACCTCTCTCTCCTTTTTGGAGAAGGGGAGGGTTCCCCTAGTAAAATAGACTACCAAAAAAAGTTGGTACCCTTATTCTAACCTCTCTACTGGAGGACCTAGTCTCTGCAATGGTCAAAAGAATCCGGTACTGGCAGTTAGTAGAAATTTGGGATATAAGTCAGCTTCTTAGTTGGGAATATTCAACACCAATGTCGGTTTCTAGTGGAACCGTTGCCGTGACTGACATTTTAGTTTTGACTTGGCATCCATGGCACATGTGAAGTTACAATCTGCTTGCCATCGCAATGACCGGTTTCAGGCACTTCAGCCAGACTCCAAAGCAACAATACAATGCTAAGGCTTAAGGTTGAGACTTGGCTTTGTCTTAAAATAGTGAACCTTAAAAATTGGTGAATTTCCTTTTCTGTCCCCTTGGAATCCACCCAAAAAAGGTGCCCCTAAAAAACAAAACAGCCACTTAGTTGCATTCTTGTTATTTACTCCTCGATTGGGCTGGACACAGGGTTATGGCCCAGGGAAATTAATCCAGATTTTGCGGATGTCCGACCAAATAACTTTGGTTTTTTAGCCGTGAGGATAAGTGTGACAACTCATTTTTTCTCATGAGAACTAGGCGCCAATATGGGGGTTGGTTCCCAGATTATGCCATAGATACTGGTGTTGGTGCCCATGGTGTTGCAACTGGGGTTGGTTCCCATATTTCATTGACATCATCTTGCACCTCAGCATTGACTCGTGTTGGGTTAGGGGTGAACTCCTGTGGTGCGCTACAACTCTGAATTGGTAACTGTGCGACTTTTGAACATGACATTTCGAGAACTTGAAGATCAGGCTGGTCATGTTGCGGGCCGTTTTCATTACTGTACTTGTTTTCCTCAGAGTTTCTTGTCCTTTGATAGTTCCGTTCTTGGTAAGCTGGGTTCCAGGGGGTTCTGAACATGGACAGCCAAGCAAAAAAACAACTCGTGTCAGGTGCGTTCACGGACGGGCGGCAGATTGAAGCTGGCCCTTCGGCATATCCTTGCAACTGCGGAGGCCGCTCCACAAAAGTCTCCGCCAAGACCTTTGGATGGACGAACTCCTGCACCGCCTGAGAACTCCTGGAATGATGATTCCCCTGTAACCAACAAACAATGGTGTCCCCATGGTTTCAAAGTGATGCGAACGGATTTCGCAACCATCCCTACTAGTAGTAGGTATAGACATGATCTTGAGTCTCCCTCCAAATTCTCCAGCGTTGGCTTTGGAATACCATTGCTTTCTGTGACTTAGAATCCAGGAGTCTCGTGCACCAAGAAAAAAAGAAATCCAGTTGGTCTCATGGGAACTGGCTCCGCGAGCGTGCTGAAAACCCGGGGACTGGTTAGGGACAACCCCCAGAAATGGCTGCGGATCTCCGGCTTCATTGGTTCTGGGTCGATTTGAATATGTGTTTTTTTTTATGACTCACAACCCCCAAAACGAGGCATGCCTTCTACTTTGTGAAGCATACCCCCTCAGTCAGTCAAGTTGAATGTCACTGAGTCGAACTGACATCGGCAGGCAGTACTGAGATTGGAGCTTGGCTCAATGCTGAGGTCTCCAGTTTGGCCAGGAGGGTTAACTGAGGGCTACGAACCATTTACCTTATATATGCTTTTATCCTTTGGGTACAGTGGTAAAGCAGATGAGCAACGAACAGAACGATCAGTCAGTTTCGACGTTGACCGTTGCTCCTTTGCCCCACACCTGCCCCAAGGGGATGTTATGAACTGGACAACCAACTCAGTCTCAAGCGAGGACTTGTTTGGTGTTTACATAATGCCCGGCACATTTATGTTTGCCGCCTGTGTGCGTTTGTCCCGTTCACAGCTTGGATGTAGTAAAACCCGCTGCTGGGAATGGTGCCAACCAAGCCATCCTTTATGTTTTCTGGGTATCTTCTCTGGTAGGGTGATGTGACAAAGAAGGGGTATGCCATCTTTTTGGTACCCCCTCACCAGCACCCATCTCTGGTGATAGCCATCTTCTCTGGGATCTGTTTGTTTGGACAAATGAGTTCGCGTTCTCGCGTTCCGAATCTTGAGCAAGACAGACCCCATGAGGGTCCTCGACTTTGGGATTGATCTCAAATTTGGGCTCGTCAACTTCTACCCTGCGGATGGACAGAATTCTGCACTCGGAATCCATGAGAAAAAAAAAAAAAAAAACATTTGTTGTTGGTATTTACAGGGGAGTCATCATTTTTCCAGGGTTTCTGAACGGTGCGAAATGGATTTCGTCCATCCAGCCTATGACTCTTGCCCTGGTCGTTCTGCCTGGTTCCCCCCTGTGTCGGCCTGCGCCCGTCTTGCGCAGGCGTGTCGTGCGTGGCGGGGCAGGCCTGCACGCTGGGGGCCGGCGGCAGCTGCGCCACCATCACGAGCACCTCCACCGTGACGTCGCTGACCAGCACCGAACCTTGGATCCGATTCAGCCCCCCAGCTTTGACCTGGTTTTTCAAACGCTCACAAGCAGGGCTGTGGGATCACTCGGGGTTTATACAACCACTTGATGCTTTGGGAAGCCCTTTCTGTTGTATCGCAGATGTGGTCATTTCCCACAGCCCTGCCCACAAGAATGTGGTCATTCTGATGTCACTTTCCAAGACTTTCTGCAGTTGGTGTCTACGTTTGGCCAAGAAAGGAAGTCCATTCAAAACTATGTGGTCAAATGGTCCAAACCCACACATCATAGGGCGGCCTGCATCCTTGGTGTTTCTTGGACGTCCCGGCGGGATGTTGAATGGAGCTCAAATTTGCAGAGGTTGGAATATTCAGTGACTGAGGAGGAGCAATAGCAACCGTATGTTGCAATCAAGTCGTCCGATGTTTGTTTGGGGCGGGGCGTGTCATTTGGCCTTGGCAGATTGTTGGGCACCGCTGTAGGGTGGTCCCCATGGGTTTGTTGTGGCAACATCGTCAGCTGCTCATGTATGTTTTGTAAAAGGAATATCATGCTTACGGTACACGAATGGCGGACATGTTGCCGACGGTATCCTCATGGTTGGCTGTTAAATATACCCCAAACATTGGCTCTGTTGCTTAGTTTAACATGACATTTGAGGTAAATTTGAAACAATCTTCCAGATGTGATGTTTGTAGTCCGGACATGCCATCATGGACCTTTAAGCAGGGCTATGCGGTGGGGGGGGGGCACGGTAGTTGGCTTTCGGGATTCATCTGAGCTGAGACTACTTCCACATCGGTCACAACCAGCACCACTGCCGCTTGGAAGTGAATTCCCGGAGACACCACTGGGTTGGGTGCAGGTGTTTCGCCAATCAGACCTTCAAGCAAAAGCGAATCGCGGCGGTTTCAAGGATTTAACTATGTAACCAAAATGCTGTTAAAGCCAAATGCCTCCTTCTGCTCTGCCAGTTTGTTGAAACAAAGTCTGCCCAACTTTGCATAGAAAGGAACTCATGTCGACCACGAATCTCAATAGAACCTGGTGGACTCATAGGGGGGCTGTTTCCTCACAAAGTTATTGGGATTCTGTTTGAAATAGAACAACATCTCCAGATCTTCTACAGTCGACATCTGGTTGCAAGCGATTGAAGGTTCGAAGCTAATATATCAGAAATCAACTTATGATTGAACTTTCAGTAAATCAGATTGCAAAGAGACAGATATGCCAGACAGTTTGGGGCTGGAGGCACGACGTAAGGAATGGGAGAGGTGACTTCTCCGGATTCCAGATTGAAGTGCGAATTGAGAAGTCATCCACTATCTTCTTCTGGTGTGACAGGAAGGCTCCATGTGAGGGAGCATGAATTGCGTAACCCTTAGTTGGTGGCTTGGATTGGTGGTTTGGGGATTTGAACCCCCAGTTCCTGTTGAAGCCAAATGGGTCGGTACCCAACCAACAATGACTTACTTCCTGAGTTCCCAGTTCCTGGACTTTAGTCACTTTTGGGGTTTGGACCATTTTGGTGGCAAATAAACAGTTTGGTTGTTTGTGTTGCCCATGTTTTTTTCATCGGGTCTTCCTGAAAAGTGGTTGGTGGACACAACTCACCACTTAAATGACACCACCAAAGGCTCCCTAACTAGAATTCAGACCCATTCACGAAAGCTAGCTATGCTAGCGGGAGTTCTCTAGGCGTTAGCTTGCCTTTTTTTAAGGCGCTGAGCTTCCCACGATGCCTGATTTACTCAAGGATTGGGGGGGGCCTAAAAAGCCTGATTCTCTCCCCCCCACGGGCTCGATTCCCCCCTGTGCCGCCCCCGGCACGTGCGTTATTCCAATACTCTCGTCCACATGTCTGCAGGTGGGGAACCTGCCTTTCTAGACATTTCTAGACGTTCATTTAGGATTGCTAGTCCTAATATCCTAGCAACTCCTGAGTCGCACATGTCGTCGTTGGGCTGGCCAGGCTAGCTTTCGTTCACCCGCCTCTCAAGTTGGCCCATCCACTTGATGGGAAGTGAGAAATTAGAAAACTGAGGCCACTGCGACCTCGCTTACCAGCACTGTCACGACAATAACAAGCACTTCCACCTCCGTGACGGCCGCTTGCAGATTTCAGTCGGCTCACTTGTCCAAATCCAGACGTTGTTCAGCTTGTTGGCACTGGGAAGACGAACACTTGATGGTGGTTGGAAGTTATTTTAGACTATCAGTTGGATGATGGGCAGGTGGTGGGAAGGTTGCACTGATTTTCCAAAAGGAACTGCTGAACTGTGTGGTTATAGTACTGCGATGGGTTGCACTTTGTTTTGGAGGTTGTCTTTTGAGCTGGTTTGAAGGGACACCAAGAGGAACATCATTTTGGGGGTTCCGCTATTTGAGACAGCCCCATAAAAGCCTTTGCCAGATCGCGAAAGTCACGCACAAAAGTCCTACCCGACGGCCGATTTCGTCAGGGGGTTCAATGGGTGAAGCAGGGGCACCCATTTGTATCCATCCCCGTCACTTTGGAGGGTCGTTTGCTGTTTCCTTGTTTGGAGGGATTCCCTTAGAAGCCCAACTTCGGTTTTGGAAGAGGGTTTCCATTAAACACCAACTTACCGACAACAGGGCCGCAGTCCGGGGTTTGTCAGTTTGCTTGGCAGCTCCTTGTGTCACTTCGCGTTTTGGGACTGCCGAAGTCATGGGATCACATCCACAGGCTGACTTGTTTCTAGGGCTCAACGTCAGACACCCGGGGTCGATGCCCAACTTAAAGCCTTACTTATTTAAAGCCTTTGGAGGAAACCAGGGGACTGCCGGGAGGGTTATGGGGCTGGTTTGGACCCCTCATACTTTGAGTTCCCGGACTTTCTTTATGAGGACCATTCTAGCAAAAACCAACAGTTTGCTTACTTTCTCTCCAAGGCTGGAATTACTCCCCTTGCAAGCGGGTTGCTTGTTGCCACATGCTACATGTTTGGCTTTCCGCAGGCCGGCAACCCCGTTTTCCGGTTTCCGGTTTCCGGCCTTCAGACCCTCGCGCCCCTGACGCGGCTTCTTTTGCTTGGGAGGCGACGGAGACCTCGATCACCGCCACGGCCACCACGGTGACCAGTACCCGTACCACGCTGACCACCAGCACCAACACGGCCCGGCGCCCAGGACGAGACGAAATCCGCTCCGCAAGCTAAGCGACCCTTGAAGGATCTTTGGCGCATTTTGCCAAGGCATGTTGGGACTTGAAGACTTTTTGCCAACTCATGGGTTTGGTTAATAAACTACCAAGAGTTGAACTTTTAGCAGGGGAGCTGAGCAGAAAGCAACCGAGTGATGATTCTCCTGTAACTGCCAATGAACAACGGTGTCCAAGTGTTCCCAAGTGGAGCAGGATTTGGTTCATCCTCGGTAAGGATAGCTTAATGTCGATCCCAGATCAGGGGAGTACACGTGCTAGACGTGAAGGATGCATACGTATCCTTGATCAACGGGATGATTAATCCTGAGATTCCAGTTGCAAGAGTTTTAGGGGTTATGATGAGGTCATGCGGGCATTGCTGAACGTAGTGGCTGCAAGCCCTGTGGTCCAAAAACCCCTCTGCTAGGGGTTGGTAGGGACGGTCAACACCATTAGGCAACCATGATCATCTTGGATGTCTTGAAACTTTGTCATGACCATGCCGTACCAAGCATTCTTGACCGTGGCTCAGATGGTCTAACTAGGCGTATGGCTAAATGGTGAGAACGCCTGGCTTCGGGTCACAAGGGTGCCAGCCTTCGGTTGCCGCACTTTGAACATCGAGAAGGATCATGGGTTAAGGGGAGCCTTTGCCCAAGATGGACCCAATAGTTGCTTGTCATATTTCTTTTAGCTGAGAGCTGGGAAGGGGAAGGCTGAGGCAGAGAGGGGTGCTGCTGAAATGTCAATTGGGATTTACTCCGTTGAGGAGCTGATATTTCAATATAAGACGAAGAAAACAAAGAGATCTGGGATGGCACCCCCTCTTGAAGTTCGGGATGTTGTCCTAGTGCGGATTCTTCAGAGGCAATGCGAGCTCACCATTAACTAAAGTGGACAAAGTCAGGCCACATCGACCTCGTTTACCTTCACCGGAACCTCGGTCACGACCACCGCCACGACGGCTACGGCTGCTCGCGCCGCAAGCAAAGCACGGGTCGTTGTTGATTCTTGTGGCGGAATGAAACGCCCCAACTTGCATATTCATTCATCCCCCCCCATTTGTAGGGTAGAGTTAGCAGAAAACAGTCAATACACTTCCCATTTCAATTGAGGACCCAACGTCAATCCATGCCCTGTTTCCCCATTTATCAGGGGTGCGTCTGGAAAAAGCCTCTTTGGGTGTACTCCAATTCGTACGATTGGCTGGCGGGTGGTCTACTGTTGGTTTGTGGAGGAGAGATGAATCGAAAAGCCCAACAAATCCGCAACAAACCAGGGGCGATCGGCCCTGAGTTTGTTTGTTGAGTTGATGGCCGTAATATTATGGCTCACGTCCATTGTTGCTTGCAGAGCATGGAAAAGCCGGCCGCCAGAGCGAGTTGTTGAAGAAAAGGTAACTTTGTAGTTAGAGCTGGGTGGGCAAACTTGGCTTCAGAAATCAGACCGTGGCCGCGGTAAAACTCAAACCCCGGTCTTCTTTCCACTCAACGTAAAACAGTTGGCGCATTTGGTGTGCAGCAATCGCGGCCTGGTCGGAACTTGCTTTTCGGCCATCATCCGAGTGGGAGGCCGACATGTTGGTTGATGGTCTTCATATACTCACTCCCTGCTATATATATTTTTTGGGGAAGACCGTTTTGATGGCTAATGGATAATTCTGGCTTGCTCCCCGGCCGTGTTTTTGTCAATAAGTGATTATATTCATAGCCACCTCTCCTCTTCTTAGAGGGACTGCGAACAACATACGGCCATGCAGTAGCTACCCCTAGTTTTGTATCCACCATAAGACCCTACATTTATTGCGGCCTTGGGGAAACCAGAAGGAAGTTTCGAGAGGCTGGTAGCGATCCCTTGCTTTTAGGGGAAATCTGTAAACTCAAGGGGTGAAGGGAGTGGGCTTGGGGCCGTTTGGGGGCTGAGTTTCGGGTGGATATGCGGTGAGCTCATGAAACACGTCAGATAGTGCTGGCTGGGCAGGCTCCAGACGCAAAACACGTTTCCCTTTGCCACGGACACGCAGAGTCGGCGTTGCAAATCCAAAGCCCAAAAGCCAGTAAACTTGGGTGAAAGTTACATTCAGGTTGACAACCCCTTTACAGGGAGTTGCACCATCTAATGTTGACCCCAGATTGACAACCCCCTACTTGTTATTATGGGGTCCCATACTGTGGATGGACGAAATCCTGCACCACCTAAGAAACCCTGGAAGGATGATTCCCCTGTAAATACCAACGAACAATGGTTTCCCATGGATCCCAAGTGGTGCAGGATTCTGTCCATCCACAGTATGAACCTCTGAAGACATGAAAAGACATGGACAGGTTGTCTTCGAGGAAGACCTTAGAAGCAGGTGCGCACAGAAAGCACAACGGCGGAGCTGACAGTCCCTGGTTTTTGGTGGGGGTTCATCACTTGCATTTTGAGGGGAACACCCCCATATGAAGAGGGATTGATCAAGCCGGACACTATTTTCAGCCTGGAGTACCCCAAATGTGGCTGCGAAGTAGACCCCATGCATCATACCCCGTACCCTCGTTTTCGCTGAGTCCACGACGAGTACCTTCAGCAGCACTTCTAGCATCACGATCACCACTTCCATCACGTCGACTACCGTGACATCCACCGCCGCAGCCCTGGAACCAAGCTGAGACTCCCGCGCTTAATGCGATTGGGCCGTGAGCGCGTGAGCCCTAAAATGTCATTTCCAATGTCCCTCTTGTGGGGAAGACCACAACAAATGGAATTGGCGACCCCCACCCCGTTGGCCTTCAAATGGCAAAGGTACAATACAAGGTGGGCCCCAACCACCAAACAATGAAAGAGACCTTGCTCCATACAACAGGGGAACAACGATGTCTTCCCATGTCCCTAATGGGGGAACAGAGGCACTGTTTTCAGTTGCTCGTATGCTGACGAGGATAACCCCCCAAAACAGATTTTTTTCGGGCAGAAGGGGATTTGTGACTGGGAGTGATGCCAAGCTGAATTGAATGGAGTGCTTAGGCTTGCTGGTGCTCAGCCGGGAATGTGGAAATGAACCCAAGGGTCCCCTGAATGGGTTTTAAGGGTCATCCCATGTCTCGTTCCCTGCCAATCGCAACAAGTAGATTCAGGTACTGATTGGTGCCGGTTTTACTTCCGGGCTTTTCCGTTTACCTCGGGTAAGAAAGGGCCCTGGCATTATTGTCCGCGTAGGGTGCCCTTTGTGTATCACTCTCCTCAACTTTGCATATATCCGCATGATTATGGCGAGCTCACCGACTTCGGGGGTAACAACGAGCTCACTATGGTAAAGAGTAATTTCTCCGGGATCCCTTATTTCACGGTGTGGAAATTATTAAAATGTGCAGATACATACATATGTATATGATGTATATGTATAAAAATTCATAGATATACAGAATGTACATACATGAATGCATACATACCCACATAGATGCATACGAAGATACTTACATAAGTCCCCCAGTCTTCGGTTTTGATTTTCCGCCGAGCGGGCGCAAGGCGCGCGCAACGGCCCAAGGGATGAGCAAGGTTAAAGTGGCGAACCTGTCTCGCTGCCTGCCTAGAGGTGTTGTACTTTTGTCCGATGACCATACTGATGATGAAATCTAAGAGCCAAAGCTGTTTGTCACTAAACTGATCTTCCCATGAAGTATACGGTCTTTAAATTGAGCAAGAATGGGAAAAGGGTTTCACGCTAGCTATGCTGTGGGTCAAAATTAACCCACCAGGAATTGGACCGCAGGACTTAGTCCATGTTTCCATTTACAAGGGGTCCATTTTGGGTACCTATTTTTGAACCACACATGAAAGCAAGTGATGGCTCTGTACTCGCAAGTGGCGCGCATGTGGCGCGCCAAGCACGAGAAGCCCCAGCAAGGCCCAGCATCTGGCCTGTTGCTGCCTCGGATGTCCTTTGAGCGGCCTGCATACCCTTTGCATGCCTTAGCTTCTTGAATGGCCGGCACACAGCGCACGAAACTTTTTTCAATTCGAGGTCACCACAAACTAGTATATGCGTTACCGCGCGCGCGCGCAAGTGCTTGCGCAAGTGCGACCCAGGGACCCAATCCCGGGCCACAGAATTTAGGACAACCCCCACATACTTAATTGCACTACATTGCACTACACTACACTACATTGCACTACATTACACCACCACGCTACACTACACCATTTACATTAGCTTACATTCCATTAATATTTTTCCCCGCATGCTAAACGTCCCCCCCCCCCAATACTAAGTGGGTCCCCGGGAAAAAAACGGTTCTAGGGTTCCCGGTTCGTTTTCGGAAAACAATAGTTAAGTCGTTTATTCTTTGTGCAGAGAGAGGAGAGAGAGGGAAGGAGACAGCCAGGGGTTGAAGGTGCAAAAAAGGGTAGGGCTGGATTTGGGCACGGGCAGGAAAATGCCTACTTCAGAATGGGTTTACTATTGGCTATTTTAAAAGTGGTGTTCCCGGATTTGGAATTCTCAAAAGTCGGTTTTAGTATTAGGGGGACCTTTAGCATTAGGGAGAACGGATTACATTACATTACGTTACATACTTGCGTACTTACATGATGTATATATATATATACAATTTGTATGTGTATATATATATATACACATGCACACATGTGTAACCTAACCGATCTTAGGGAATTGTCAGGATGCCTGCCTTGGAACGAGCCAGGTCACTTCCACCACGGGCACAAGCACCACCAGTGCCACCAGCACCACCTCCACCTTCACCGCCACTGCCTTAGGTCTCAAAGCCTTTGCCAGGGCTACCCAACATGTTTTACCCTGCGGTTCAACCCCCTTTAAAAGAAAGGTTAGATGATGACAATCCTTGGGTAAATAATCGTGGTGAAATATGAAGCCAACCATTGTTTTGATGCTGGTTTGAACCCGCAGGGTCTTACCTTTGTGCGGTTTTCCCCCGACTGAAAAAAAGCTCTGGGGACTCTGCCCAAATTAGCCCCAGGTTCCGGAAGGGGTAGGGGATCGATGTTGGGGATACCACCTTGGCTTGGTGTGTTGTTTGTTTTGACAAATCGGCTTTTCCTCTTGAAGCAAATTCCTCCTGGTGAGTAAACCGAGGCAATCACACAAGTTGCCGGAGAAGGGCATGTGTCGCTGTTCTATTTAAAATCAGATCGGGACATTGGCAGCCGCCCTGCTGTCTGGCTTAAGCATTGTTTGTTGGCTTCCCTGTGTTTGCTTGTTTGTTGAATTCTCTTGAACATCAACCCAACCCTCAACACCTGGCAATCCAGGCCTGGGTATCATTTTGGTCGCCTGTATGAGATTTCGAGTGGATATATGCGGCGGGGGGTCTGTTGGCAAGCCTGTGACACGTCAGTTTGAGCCAACTACGTTTTCCAGTTTGATTTGATGCTTTGTGGGAGGACCTGTGAGGTGGCAAAGCAAGAGTTTGATTCAAATTCAGTTTCTAGCCTTTGGCTCACTCGCGGGCAAGGCTAAGGAAGTCACCTATAAGCGCGGAGCGAAAATTAAAAGCGAGGAGCAAACCAACTTACTACCGTTAAGACAATCCTTTGTTGCATTTTGCTTGGATGTTAGGACTTAAACTTTTGGCCAACTAATGGGTTTTTCCATCAAACCACTAAAAGTTAAACTTTTAGCAGGGGAGCAGAAAGCAACCCAGAATCATGCTTGTAGCTGTAGCCTCGGTTTCGGCTTTTCTCGCTGGAAGAGGCGTCCTGTGCTGAGTGTCGGCAGGTCACGTCCACCTCCAAGACCACAACTGTCACCTCAACGACCATCACTTCTACGACGCCACTTGGTGGAACTTCTAGCAGGGCTCCTTAAAAGATACATTTTGCAACCATTTGAAACATGGCTTTTTCAACACCAAAATAAAGGCACACCACCGTTTACAAGGCAATGTTCAGGTGTATAATGTAGGAACCCCTGTCTAGATTCAAGAGAATCTGCCGTCCTTTTCCCATTGTTGTTGAAGTGCGGGGGGCCGCTATTTCCCCTGTTGGTTTTGAAAGTGTGTTTTGTTCACGTGTTGTTTCATCATGTGGCAAAACGGCCGAATGGCCGTTTGGCTCAAGATTTGGATCCCCCGTCGGGACTTCCTTGGATTTGCGTGCGTTCGCCATAGTGCGGCGATTGGCTGCGCCATCGCGGAAAAGGTCCGTGGTGTTCCAGCTGTTCGGCACTAGGAGGTGGGCGGCAGGTCGCCGAGGTGCTCCCGGGCCCGACCCTTGTCTTTACCCTCTTCTACCAGTTTCCTAACCTCCCCAAACTTGATCTTCATTAACTGTCACTCCCACAATCTGGTCACCGGCACCCTCTACATTGTGCTTTGGGACTGGGTTCTTTTGGTACTTCGTGAACCACGTGTACCTCTTTGATTCCCTGGGCTACTTCGTGTTCGCCCAAAACCGCAGGTTATCAGCCGTACCAGCTAGAAGCTGGGGCTGGTGATCCGGTTGCGGGACGTGACCCGCTACCTGCTCCCATCGCCTACTTGTACGAGCAATGGCGTCCCCCGGAGCTTCTCATCGTGGGCCGGGCTTCGTGGACGACGAGGCCAACGCCCTTCGCGGCAACGCCGCGCCTGCTGCTTCCGGCTTAGACAGCCGGCTGTGGCCCATCCCCCCGATGGTGGGCGCAGAGCCCAATCCCGGGGTGATCACGGACGATTGGATCCTTTCTCAGGCTGTGTTTGATGAGGATGCGGAGGCCCCTATCCCGGCGGCAGTGCTCCAGATCGAGGACGGACCCCCTCTAGAAGAGGCTGAGGTTCCTCCAAATCAGGTGCCCTCATCGATTTCGCCTACTGTTCCGTTCGTGGCGCTCCAGATCGAGGACCGGGCTATCCATCATGCTGCTCATCCGGAGCCGGCTCAATCATGGTCCCTTACATGGGATCAGTTTGACCAACTCCTCGGCAGTGGATCGCAGGCTACACCGCCTGATTTCGGTCGGCTCGACTTTAACTCGGGTGCCCCCGTTTCGGTTGGGAATCTGGATTTTCAATCCCTTTTTGATGCTGATTGGAGGTCTCAGCCTTCCCGAATTGACAGATCCTTTGATGCCCTGCCGTCGCATGAGCCTACTCAGGGTTTTCCTCATGATGGAGAAAATGACCCCATTGAAGATTTCTCCCCTTCTCATGTTGCAGGTTCGGCCCAACCCGAGGTGGGCAAACGGGCGATTGAGGATTGGCCGCAAATAGCTGGCCCTCCTCCCGTCTCAGGTTCATCCGACATTGACATCATTCACGATCACCCCAGTCCGGCGGATATGGACTTCATCCCTGATGCAGTATCATCTCACCTGTCAGGTACCCGCGACCGGAATGCGGACCGCTACAACGCTGGTCCGAATCCACCGCTTTCCTCAGGTACCCGAGGTCGGGATGCGAACCGCTACAACGCGGGCTCAAATCCGCCAAATCGGACATCAGGTACTAATCGATCGGATGTGGGCCGCGAAACAGCAGGCCCAAATCCTTCCTCCTCTTCGTCAAGAAGCCATGCCGGTCTCTTCGCGGCGTTCAATCGGCGTCAGACTCGAAAAGAGTCCGCCCCCGACATCATCGACCTCGAGGAGCAGTCCAGCCACCGTACCAGCGATGGATCCGAGCAGGATACACCTGGTATTGGCTCCACTCCATTTGACCTCCTCGACATCCCCTTCCATCAGCCACCCAGGAGAGGAAATGAAGATGATGAAACCATCCCTGGAATCCTTGATGTAATCGATGAGGCCGAGGTCACACCAGAGAGACGAACGACATCGCTCCCGCCGAGCCGCGTTGCCAAAGTACTTTCCCCTAAGCCACTCATTGGTGACGTTGCTCAACGGCTTGATCTCACTCAACCTGATCCAGATCAAGCTCAACTTCGCGGGTCGTCATCTTTTGATAACATGTCGGGACAAACCGGCACTGACTCACGAGCCACAAAGAGGAGCTCTGAGTCACCCGAGAGACGTGAAGCTGCTTTGCGATTGCGATCTAATCCCCCAGCTCATCACGATCCTATTGACGTTCCTATCCACTCTGCGGGGTCTGGGCTCAGCTCCAATGCCCCGATGTCTGAGAAGGAGACTGATGACGGGATTAACTCTACGCCCAGGAATCGGAGACCTGGACTCAGCACTGTTGCTCCTGGTCATGGAGGGCTTCCTTCAAATCAACCGGTCAACAACTCCCTCGTCCCCGCATTCTTTCAAATTGGAACTCCGGGCTGCACTCCTGACAGGGAAGAAAATAGGCGCGGAGATCATGACGCTGATAGTCGTCCTGCTCCGTCTGCTTCCACAAGTGGCGGCCATCCTGTTGCATCTGAGCTTCAACGACTGCTTCTCGCGATCCACAACGAGGTAAAGGGGTGCAAGGCCGAAATCCAGGGATGCAGAACCGAGATTCGTTCATGTAGGGATGATATCAACGCTTGCGTCGGTGAGATCAAGAAGATCAATAACCGTGTTGACGCCTTCGAGAAGAAGGTTGAATCATCTTTCTCTGCCGTTGCCGGAACTCTCTCAAAACACGAGGCCAAGTTCCGTGATTTCCACGAGTGGGTCGCCCGAAGCGAGAAGGAGATGAATGAGCGTTTCAAGATGTATGATGAGAGGTCTGACTCGATCGTCATATCCGCTGCTGAACTTCGCGAGCAGGCCGAATCACTTGAGAACGTCAAGGTCCAGCTCCTTAGGTTCTCTGAGATCGGGGCCCTTGAGGCTGAGGTTCGGAAAATCAAGGACGAAGTTGAGGCGAACTCTCGCAGTGTCATCGACATTGAGGGAACCATCTCAAGGGAAAGAACCATCCGTGGGAACGTCGAGACGTATATCCAGCAGCTCGTTCCTGCGACCGACCTGAAGCAGTTCAGTGATAGGATGTCCGGAGCTCTCAATGAGAACTCACAGAAACAGGAAGAGTTCAAGCTTCAATTGTCCCGTATTGCTAGATGCGTCAAGGACCTTCATGACAAAAGCTTAGGCCCCAATCCGAGGGACATGCAAGAGCAGTTTATGAAGCTTGTGCTGAGGGTCAATGAGATCAACATGCAGATCGCTGAGTTGAGGGAGCAACCTCTTGCTGCCTGCGGATCTTCAAGTGCTGGCGCTGCTTCGACCGCCGGAACGGGATCATGGGAGAAATCTGGAGACACTGATCCCTTAACCCAGGGAAGGGCTCCTAGAGGTTCTCCCTCTCGTGATGCTCGCACCGTCAGCTCGGCTAGGCCTCCTCCACCTCCACCTCCTTCAGGGCCACCCCCACCGTCACCATCAGCCCCCATCTTCGGCAGGGATCCCTCTAGAACGAGGGCCATTGCTCGGGCTGCCGGCGCTGCCCCTGATAACCGGGCCAGGTGTGCTCATGAGGAGCCCGGGCATCCACAGCATCGGGAACCTCGCTATCCATGCCGAAGCTGCGGCAAGTCAGTCTGCGAAGACTGCTTTGACCATGATTGTAACTCGTGTTTCAAGTGCAGCGATCAGTTTCCTAGATGCCGCGCATGCAGAGGAAGAGGGGGGAGACACGGACTTGTGAGGTGTCTCATATGCAAGGACGAGTACTGCGATCAACACATCGCCTCACCTGACGATGTGCGCCGTTTTGGATCGAGTGTTCGACCTATTTGCCTCGGTTGTCTGAGAGCTGATCCCGACGGGAAAACTAAGCATCGCGGTCCCAGTGCGGGGCCTGGAGGACCTGATTGCATTCCTGATCATAATCAGCGGGATGGCACTGCTCCTGATCCTGGATCCGGGCCATCACGTGGAGATCCGTCACATCGGAGTCCTGAACCGCACCAAGGGAACTCTGGTTCCTGTTCCCACGCCGGAGCTGCCGGGTCAATGCCACCAAGGGCGATGTCTTCGCCCGTAGTCGGGCGAGCAGTTCTGAGGGGGACCATCAACACGTATCCCGGATGTTCCCCTACAGGGGGGATTTTCACCGGTCAGGTTGAGCATGGAACGTCTCAGGGAGTCATTCGCGGGAGGTACGGACCTGACGCTGCTGTGACAAATCAGCAGAATCCACAGCCTCACCACGGAGTACAGGATAACTCTGGCGGGCCGACTGGTCTCTCTCTTCCACCAGGACTCGGTAAGGGTGCGCATGGCGCCGGTGGCGTCGGCGGTATTGGAGCTCCCGATCTTCGCCGATCTTCCGCTGAGGAGAGGGTCTGCCCTCGATGCAACATAAATGTCAAGACCAGCATCCCCGGGACGCCTCCATGTTTCCAAACTTGTTCTTTGTGCCGCACTTCTCTATGCGCCGCGTGCTGCCCGCCATCGTCCGGGAGTTGCTCTCTGTGTGCCATATCCATTGGCAGAGACGGCGTTTTACCTCCCCATGTTTTTGGGCAGGCTACTCGACCTCCCTTAACTTCGTTGCCATCTGAGGCGAACAAGTGCGCCAACATAGAGCTCGAAAAAGAGCCCGCACCGCATGAGTTGCGAGACTGGATCATTTCCACGAGAGAAATCGTGAGCAACGCATTCAGCTATGACTCGCCATATGCCATGTCTTGGGTCATGAGTGTCGAGAACGCCAGCACAATAGAGGAACTTGATGGGGAGTGCCTCTACCCGATCCTTGACAATAAGTTCAATGCTGCACTAAGAAAGTGCATCACATCGAAACCTATTGTTGCCAAGATCAGCAGGCTGACTGAAGAGGCTCAGGTGAAAAGGGGGACGAGGCTGAAAAGCCGCCAGATCCTGTTCTGTCTCATTGAATACCTTCGTCCCGATGAAGTCGGGAGCCAGTCTATCCGTACGAATGAACTTCTTCGCCTAT